GGCAGGGGGTTGGAGATTCATGATCCTTGAGGTCCCTTCCAACCCTGGCCATTCTGTGATTCTGTGGTTCTGAAGTAATGTAAAAAAAAGCTAAGCATAGAGTTTTTGTAGAGTGGGAAATACTGCACTTGTGAGTTCAAGACCCTGACTTGAAATAGTTGTAGGATTGGAAGGAACTTGTTGTGTTATTGCTTAATGCACCTTAGCCAGAACAGACTGGAAATGAATCGGATGTAGGCGGCATTAATGGCAGTTGGGTGGCTGATGTCCTTAGAAAGACATGTCTGAGAGAGCAGTGAAGGATATCATAAACATGCTTTGCTTCTTACTCTGTCTCATTTTGCAGCTCTGGGTGTCTTGCAGAGATGTTGGTGATGCAAAGTGACTACCAGATTCTCTTTGGTGGGGAATCAGAAGAGACTGGTGGTGGTAGAAATAAAAGAACATCAGCATTGCAGATGAGAGTGCCTTTGTTTAACTGGAAGTTCTGCCATTCTTGTCTGTAAAAAGACTTTTAGAGTCTGAACTCTGAAATTCCTGCTGCCTTTTTGCTTCGCTGCCTAATTTATAAGACCAAATACAAGCCAACCACATCGGACTCCTGTGTTTCGCTAGGCTGCAAAGTAGATAACTCATTTGCTTTGTTCTTTCCTCAGTTAAGATTTTCTGAGATGGAAATATATTTAAATCTGCGACTTTACCTGTTTTGCACACATGTGGTGAGTCTTGTAGCATGCTGCTGAGTGTGTGCTCACAAACCCTGCTGTACAAACTCTGATGTATTCCCTCTTCTCCAGTTCTGTGCACCTACGGGTTGAGGCTGTATGTGCCTAAAAACGTAGGCCAGAATGTTTTCATTCTGCTAGAGGATTGTGGGCAGCAGTCCAACCTCCTCCTCTCTTACTGTAACTTCTCCCAGATGCAATCAGTGGAGCTAGCAGCCTGCCAGCAGGGAGAGGTTCTGGCTGCTGCTGTGCGGAGGGGCTGGGCAGGACGGCAGCTGATGGAAGGTGTTAAGGAAGACTGAAATCCTTCAGGAAGAGCACAGGTACAGAGTGTCTGTTTACATGGCAGGAAATGCTTTTCTGCTCAGCCTCAAAGCCCAGTTCCTGCTGGACCAGGTTTGGCTTCTCAAAGAATTTTGATCCCCAGTGCTTATGAGCTGCTCCTCACACCGCTCTGCAGGCAGTGCTGGCAGAAGCTCATGCTAACCATTAATAATCTGGCTTTAGTAATTAATATTCTGCATTACTTCGGTGACACTTAGAAATAAATTCATTTTCAGCAGACATCTTTCCCTTGAGAGAAAATTATTTTCTGCTTTGGAACCTGTTCAGCTGTGTCACTGCGGCCCAGCAGACCCTGAGAGAAAAGAATGTGGGAGTTTTAACCAAAGCATTCAGTTTGTTTTTTGGGAAATGCTCCTGAAGCTTTTTTATACAGTAAGGTTCCACATAAGAAAATTAAATAATGGCAATTATAAAAATGTAGATTCAGAGGGAATTCCCTCTGTAGGAAAAATTTGAAACTGAGAGGCTGTATTAGCTCAGCCTAAACAAGAGGGTTAAGCAATGTGTGTATTCTCAGAAACAAACTCAATTCCAGGACATCCACTGAAGCTTTCCATGTTTTAAGGTTTCCCTCTGTTCTGTGGTGATTTCAGTGACCTTTCTTCCAGTGATAAAACCAGACACGAGAAGGAAATATAAATATTCCACATTGCAATTTCGCACATCCTAGGAGTGTCAGCAGTGCCAGCCTTTGCTGCTCCTCAGGTTGTTCTCTAAACTTCGGCTTTCTGCAGAATTGGATAGCAGATATTTCTGATGAAATGACTCAATCCCATGTGACTTTCAGTACTTTTCCACTTCCAGCTGGAAAAAACAAGCAGAATACAAAGAGAGAAGAATTGGCATCTAAGAAAGTTGGTGTAGTCTTAAGGTCTTTTCCTTCAGCTGGGAAACTCACAAAATTACATACTGGGTTATTAGTGCAGCAAGTCCAGCTTGAATTGCATGTTTGTTTTACTTGCTGTGGTGATTCTGAACTTGAGGGCCTGATCTCAACAACAGGAGTGCTCCTCCTGATTTAGTATAGGCAGGCTTCAGGTCACATCCGAGATAGACTGCGGTTAACAAACGATGATTTCTGAAGAAATATGAACAAGCAGGCACAATCAGAGGAGGTGGAAAATACATTTACTGCAAGTATTATTGTTGTCTTGTTTCTTTTGAGGCAATATGCAACATGAGAGAAAATATTTTAGATTCTTATGAGAGATGATTTCAGCAGAGCGTTTGATAACAGTGGCAAGGAGAGCTGAAGGAAACGTAGTAACAACTTCTGTAATGAGCAGTGTGCTCTAAGCTGGATAATTTTCGTTAATGGATTTAGAAATCTGTTAGCATGCACAGAACAGGCAAAAGCTGAGTGTCCTGTGACTCAGATTTCATCTTTACAGACAGGGATTTCCAGGTTTGCACAGAGTCTAAATGGTACTCAGCAGCTTCCATCACATTCCTTTGACAAGCAAGGTGCCGTGGTGTTGGAGCTGGAGCAGGGTTTAAAGGGGATTTAAAGCAAAGTTTGTGAGCAGCAAGCCTTCGGCTGCCAAATTAAGAGAGAGAAGGGAAGAATTTCTGAGCAGCTTATGAAAATTGACCTTTGGTCTTGCTATGCTCTGCAGGACCACTGTACCAGGTATTTCCAGTTTAAAGCAAGTATCGTTGATGCCCACTATAGCTTTAACTGCTTTCACTTCAGGAGAAGTTCACCTCTTGTCTAACTGTGAATTCCAACATGTTATAATAGGTTGAGGATTTTTGAATCTTTGTCTTTGTCAAAACCTCTGAACAGTAGAACAGTTCTTCCTTCCCATCTACTCAGCCAATAAACAGACAGAAACTGCAGAGTACAGGGCAAGGAATGCTTTTTCTCATGCAGGGAATTGACTCCACTAGCGTGCCTCAGTGCGAGTGAGCAGCATATAGAAAGGGCCCTTTGGAGTAACAAAGGATGGTCATGCTGTTCATCTTCCATGCACAGCCATCAGCCAGTCCCTTCATCAGAAATGAAGCAGAGTCATTATTCAACGAAGGAATAGTTTTTTTGGGTTTGTTTCTTAATTTTTGCTAATTTTCAGCAGGGAGTTGGTAGAGCAGAGTATTTCTGCGGTTGATTTACTGTACTGTGAATACTAGTGCAGAAACAAGGCAGAGTGTGCAGGGAAAATTAAACCTGTTGTGTTAAAAAATCCTAGAAAAATTCTTGCCTTAGTAAAGTGAAGCTGAGAGGCTTATGAATCCTGTGGTGAAACTCAGAAATTCTGACTCGGTGTCCTACAAAACCTCCCTGCTTTCCCTCTCTTATTTACCCTAAGTTTGATTACAGCTTTTTTAAGTTTGTAGCTGACCTACCCCTATTGAACCTAATTATTTACAAATAAATAATTGTGATTCTTCATGACGTTGGTTCTTACTGATCTCCATTTTACGTCCCAGTAACAAGGGGAAGATAATGAAGTGTAGCAGAGGAAAAAGAGTTAAGAACACTTCCCCAGTTTTCTACTGATAGATTTATCCTGCCCTGAGGTAGGACCTTCAGTCACCTCTGTGACTGCTGAGGTAGCCATTTTCTAACCTCTTTTTCAGCTTAGAAATCCTTTACAAAGACAAGGAGGAAAAGACTATGCTGGTGGTAACATTTTCATCAAGATTTGTATGTGATTTGCTTTCCATCTAGTGCTATCCTTTTAATATTTTTGCTAATTGTGATACTGTAGTGATGTTGCTGGTTCCATGTTTCCTCTTGAGTTAATTAAATTATGTTGACTCCTTTTTAATTTTCATGTAATGATTTTTCTTGGCTCACAATGGAAGACTAGATTTTTGCTTCTACCAGCTTTGACTTATAACCACCTGTGATGTGCAGGAGTTCCTGGCTGGCCTGTGGATCCACATTAAGCTGTCCTTAATTTACACTTTTTAGTGCTCCCAATGAAAGTATGACAAAAAGGAAAGGTTGTAGTCTACAAGAAACCCCGTGAAATCAGAACACATCTGTTCATTTTCCAGTCACTGCTCAGAAGTTAGCTAATTAGCCTAACAAATATTGATAGTTCTTTTGTTTGCAGATGCAGCTCCAGTCTGTGAGTCCAATGATGCATGATCAGAATGGTTGGCTTTTGGTTGCAGAGCATGTATTTCTGACCCAAACTTTTACCTGGAAGCTTTACTACCTGATATTCTTATGGGCTTGCAGAAAATGCATGTAAAGGAGTGAATGTTTGCAGTGTTCATTCTTTTATCACATCAAGGCCAACTGCAGCACAGCATGTATCTTCTTACTGAAGGATTCAGTAACAAAACAGCTTTATTATTATTTTTTTCCTAAGAAGCCAGATGAAGAGTGTTTTTCAGCTGTAATTCTACTGGCAGTGGTTAGTGGCTTGATGCTCAGCCTGAAATGACTGTGTCACAACCTAATTTCCAATGTATTTCCACAGTTTAGTAAAATGTGTTCTGTAATGCATGACTGCAGAAAACTCCCTAGATGCATATTTATCAAGAAACTAGCCTGGACTGGATTTCTGCTCACCACTAGCCAGAGAAGGGGATTTAACTGCATCTCTCTCTGCTCCAATCAGAGTTCTTGTGGTCTTGTAAAAGCTGATCTTTCTAGTCCTGCAGTCTTCCATCCTCCTGTTAAGGTAATAGGAGGGTTGCTTGCTGCATGTGGCTTTAGAACAAATCTCTTACTTCGAGCTGAATAGAAATATTTATGTTTAACTACAGTTGGTTGTACTTTTCATAAGAGCACAAATGCTTCTGTTCTATCATTTGCAAATGGTTTTAAAATAAATAGGAATGGTAAATTTGTGATGCAGTCCATTAGGAAGTGCATTTTCCTGTGATAATTTCACCCATATAAATGAATCATTCTTCCTACAAATGAGAAACCAATATGTTTGGCAAACAAGGCCTGAATCTCTTTTAAGTTTTTAAGTTTTAAGTGTTGGACCATGAGATTCATTGATGTTGGCAGTAATTGGATCCAATTCCCATCATTGCCAAAATGTCTGCATGGCACACTGTAGCATCACTGTGCCATCAGTCCCAAGGGTAATATAGGCATACCAGTACAACTCTATATTTATATACACAGTTCTCCTGCCAAAACACTGCATCAACATAGCTGGTGCTGGTCTGCTGCTGTGTTGTACTGCAATATTCAGTGTATTCCTAAGGCTTATTCTTAACCAATGCTTCTTGTGCCAGGATCTGAATGCAGTGGATGCTAAATCTCTTTACAATTACTGCCCCACATCCTGCCCCTTTACTCTTTGCTCCAGTAGGTTTGTCACTCATTTCTTCAGGATTGTGCCTACTGTGGAACTGAAGAGTCTGAATCACCACTGAATGCACTGGCAGTAAATAAACCATCCTAGTTGTCCTCCTCATCCATTTTTGGTTGCTGTATTTGCAGAATACGTTGCATTATACATCCATTTTCAGTGAGATGTTCTGACGACAGAAATTTTAAGAAGGAGAATCCAAGTTATTTGTTTTAATAAATATCATGATGTCATGCACTTCCCCAAACTCTTTCACTTCTCAGAACAAATTAATTGTTCATTAATCCATTCTTGATGAAACAGCATTTGGAAGAGCAGTTTATATGTCTGCATCTCACATTAAGCAAATAATTCATTTATGCCATTACACAGCAGCATTGTGATGGAGTAGCTATCTGATAACTGCTTACACTTAACTCAGGTAAACCATCAAAAGATTCCAGATATAAATTTGATTGCTAAAGCCATTCACTGCTTCAATAACTTGCATATCCCACAAACTTTGTGATGAGTTCATAAATATCATAAAGGGTAATAGGAATGCATTCTAAGAGTGCATTATTGCTAGCTGTAAGCCAGCTGCCCTCAGGCTGATGACATATCAGTATGCAGTATGCTCTGTGAAGCATAAGCATTGTTTTACATCTGGTATTGTTGGTATTAGTATAAGGTGATGCTGCAAAAGGTAGTTAGGATTTGAGGTGGAGAGAATGGAAAACATTTGTCTTTGATAAACCAAATTATTCTTGGAGCAATTCTGAATGTAAAACCATAGCTTAGTCTTTAAGGACTAGTGTTCCCAATATCTCAACCATCTACATTTTATATCTTCTTCTAAGAAAGAGAATAGGTAAGCTGAATTTCTACTGATACTAGTATAACAGGGCCAGAAAAACTGTTTGCCATGGCCAGCTAAACCAAATACGGACAATGTCCTGATATTGCTAGCAGAATTGGGTACTGGAGACCAGCTGTCTGCATATGATGGGATAATTTTCCCCTTGCATTTTCTCAGATCATATTGTGTTTTGTTAGTCTTAGAAAGCACTTGAGTTTTGTTTGGGTCCAGATGTGAGTGATGTGACTTACTCTTCATTCCATATTCCCTTGACTTTTCTCATGCTTCCTGTCTCTTTCCAAAGCCAAAGCCAAAAGTTCCAAAACAGAAACCTACGGGAAAAGCTTCCCTGGAAATGTTTGTCTTGAACAGAAACAAGCAGCAAAATACATTTCCTGCAAAATAATTTTCTTACGGGAAATGTAGCCTGTGTCCTACACCAAATGGTCTGCCTAAGTGCATATTTTTAGATAAGCTTTTCAATTACAGATTCTTACTGAAAGCACAGTAAGTGTCTTTCAGTTTCTCATCTTCGATTTCTTTTGATCCCACTCGGCCTTGAGAAATGTGTTCTCCCTTTACTTGATTTCTTTCTTGAAAAGGGGTGGGTGGACCTGTGGTAAGTTAAGATTGAAAAAGATTTGAACAACACTGATTAGCAAAGAGCTCATGTAACCATCTGTTGTAACTTCTAACTAATATCTATAAGCATACCAAGCCTCACATAGTCCACATCAGATGAAAAGGTCTTTTCTTAAGCATTTAGGATGGAATTCTTGCAGCTAAAGTTTGAACACTGGAAGATTTGCTTTACATCAACACCTGCTGTTCTGCCATTACTGCAAGAAGGAAGCTGGAGCAAATAGACTTTTCAGCTGTGACATACAATCCATGTGTGGATTAAACTGAGCATGCAACTACAGCTGAGAATTCCAGAGAATCCTCCTTCCTCCACTCTGACAGTGCAAAGGTAGGCTTTTGACCCAAGGGAATGTGTATGAATTATGAAGTATTCCAATATGGATTGTACTAACCTCTTCTGTTTTCTCTCTCTGCTCCTGTTCTGCAGGATGACTCTTCAACACTTCCTTCCTTGTTCTAAGAAAATTCGATTGATCGTCAAAAGTGATTTTGACATCCTTCCAATGTATGTCTGGGCTCATCTTTAAACTCTTCACTCCAACGTGACTTAAGCTGCCTGTGCAGAGAAGAAAAGTAACCTTAAGCAGGTCCTTACCGTGTTATTTTTCACTCTGTAAGATAGTGCATATGGAACTTCTTTGATCCATTCTACCTCACTGGATTTTTCCTAATTCTTGTAGCACATAGTGCTTCCATGTAATATGAAAAAAATTGCAGAAGGATTACATAAAGTCTTCTGTTAAAGTCTGCCCCGTGATCTACTCTGATTTTTCTTTTCACTGGGCACTTCTTTGAGACTCCATTATTGTTTTTTCCTAGGTTCTGCACTGGGAAGCAGAGATAAGTTACACAGGGAAAGAAGTTCCACGGTAAGTAGCTGAAATAATGAAGCCTCATTGTTTCTGTGTCTCTTGCCCATTAATCTTTTTTTTTTTTTTTCCCCATCAGCAGTACTATGAATTCATCTGCTTATCATCTTCAGCATTCCCATCAAACTTTGTCACCGTTCTCTAGCCAGGATGGATCTATATGAAGCCAACAATTCTGTGTGTTTGAATTGTCCTGTTCAGCACAGTAAGGTACTTCTGGCTTTTATATTCATTAAGGGTCTCTCTCTCCCTATTGACTCTCTCTCCTCTACATGCATACCATTTTCTGTGGGTTTCTTAACGAGTCAGGTTACAAATGTGTGACTAGAAATCAAAACTGCCCTTCAATGAAATGTATAATTATTGCTTTTTCATAGTGAAGAGTTCTTAATAAGATGCAGTGCAACAGTAAGTAAAAGCAATGCATCCAGTGTTCTGTATGTTCAGTGTGTGAGACTCTTAAAGTAGATCTTTCCAGCTGAATCAGAAAATAGAGATAAGCTTCCCTGCTTATTCAAGGTTCGTGTCTTTTTTTCCATTTTGACAAAGAACCACAAAGGTAAAATGTGACAAGGGAAAGGAGCACCACCTACTGGTCACAGAATGATACTGGGGAACGAGAATGGCGTGAAATTCTACCCGCCCGTTAAAATGTACAGACCGTGCAATTCTTGGCTGACTTGTTTGTATATAAGGAAAGAAATTGTTCTGGAAATGCAGTAACAGGGTGTTCTTCGTGGGCACTGCGGTGACTGAGAGGCGGGGGATTTAGAATGATGTCTGATGCAGCTGAAGGAGGGTGGTTCTGACTGTATCAGAAGCAGTACTTTGAGAATCTTTTGCCTGTTTGTCTCCCGTGGCTTTAAAAAAAGTAAAGAGTTTAGGAAAGATTGTGGTTCCTGATCTCCAAAGAATTTAAATAAAAATAGGCCAAAACCATTCACTGTTTGAAATAGTGTACTCTTGTTTGCAAGTTCTTGTGTGCACAATCACTCTATAGCAGATTGAAAATGTTCGTCTTGGCATCAACAGTCACAAAGAACTGGAAAAATATTTTATTATAGAATAAAAATAATAATTTAACCTATATCTCAGCACGCATGTTTGGACTGACACTGTGTGATTCAGGGCTTGAGGGGGCCAATCACCTGTGGCTCCTTTGTTCCAACAAAAAGAGTGGTTGTTTAGTATAGGCTCTGAAAAATACTTCTGGGTTTTATCTTTAGCTAAATCCTCACACCCTGGATGTTATCAGACAAGAGACAAAGCCATTCTTGCTTTCTCTTCTGTGAAAGGAAACAATATATGCTCTTAATCAGTATTTTTGACTTGTGATCTCACTATAATCAAAAGCAAGGTACATGTGTGCTGCTTGTAATTTACTGAAGGTTCCTGTGCTTCTATAAATATGATAGCATGATACTAGGATACACCCTCTGTACCTCAGTATATGATGATAGTCACCCTTTCCTTTCCTTTCCTTTCCTTTCCTTTCCTTTCCTTTCCTTTCCTTTCCTTCCCTTCCCTTCCCTTCCCTTCCCTTCCCTTCCCTTCATCCAAAATCAACATTTGTTCAGGAACTATGAGTGCTTATATTCACTGTAGGATAAAAATGTTATAATTGTAATGCATTAGACCAGTCTCATCTTTTCAGAGTAGATACAGCTTCACTTTACAAGTGTAGTACACCATGTTGAAGGCCATCTTTGCCAGCAAAAAAGACTTACTAAAAAAATGGTGAAAATTTTTGAGGAGAGGAATACATTCCAGGAAAAAAAAGTCAAATATTTTCATGTTTGTCAAGCATCTTAGTCCTCTTGGGAGTGTAAGCACTACTTCACTATAAATGAAATTCACTTGGCTATTGCAGTATGCTTAGGGATTACTTCAAACCAAAAGGTTCACTGGGCCTCCACTCTCAACAGGAGAGAAATCCCATCTTTGAGATGTAGCTATATTTGTTTTCCAGACTTTTGCTAGCAGCAGAATGTCACCTATCCCACTTGTGCATTCTAACATGAAGACATGACAGGAAGAAGAAGGGAGAGTATTGTTTTCATGTACGTTTCCTGCAGCAATTTAGAGATATGCTCTTATCATTTACCATCCCACATCTGATCTGTTTTGAAAAAGGTTACACACGAAATAAGGAACTGATGTCCCCAGGAAGGGGAACTTGTTTACATGAATCAGCTGTAAAAATAGGGGATTCTCCTGCTTTGTGTGTTGTAAGGAAGCTGAGCAGCAAACTGAAAAAAGAGAAGTACTAACAGCAAAAGTTTTGTGGGCTTAGGAATTGATTCTGTGAGTTGTTGGGAGATGCAAGTATTGATAGCCAGGGATTCAGTGTTTTCACTTGTAATTTGTGTTCTGGCAAATGGCACGTGCTGAGAAGGAGTATGATGCTATGAGAAGACCAGGAATACTTTGTGTTTGGAGAAGAATATACTGTGCAGTATGTAAGAGAGAAATCTGACTTGTCAGGGTCACTCCTAAGCAGGATCAACCCTTCCTATTTTCCACGTTTCCATAAAAGCTCTCAACTGTTAACAGAACAGAATCAGTCTTTCTAGTCTGAGAAAAAGAAAAAAAAGTGCCTGGCCCTACTTTGCAACATTTAATCTTTTGGTGCGTCACACTTCTTGTCATGTGAATTGACTGGGAAGAATTCCATGCCTCAAGTTCTGTAGCAGGTTCATCTGCTAGCAGAATACTGCCTGTTTCCTCACTTGACACATTTCTTATCAGGAGGTGAAATCCAGAGAGGAGGACTTGAAGAACTGCAGTCCCTTACATCAACATCAAAATGGAACCCAAGGACAACCATGCTGAATATTCAGGTTCTTTATATCCTTTATACCCTATAGTAGAGAATAAAAATGTTGTCTAGCATATGACATAGTTACTTTTTACTGAAAAAAATAAGTCAAGGGATTTAAAAATACAGAGTAAGAAGCTTTTGAGAATTTAGGATTTCTGGATAGTCTGAGGACTTCCAAACCAGCAGAATTCAGTTCACACAGACTGTAGTCCTTACAAAAACACCACTGCAAACATCAGCTCCAGCCATTGCAACAACTGTGTAGACACCAGACCTCCTGTGGTATCTTCCCTTCTCAAGCTAAACAAGGCCATCCCCCTCAACCCTTCTTTATGGGAGAGATGCTTCAACCCCCCAGGTGTCTTTGTGACCCCCTCGGAACCTGTTCCAAAAGCTCAACATCAATTTCTTTAATTATTTGTTCAATGTTGATATTTTTATTCATGAATATTCAGGCTGTCAGTTTCAACTTTAAGTATTATGTGGAATGTGTGCTGTGATCTCTTCACTGTGACAGTTACAGAAGTTTTTTATTAAGGGTTGAAGTTCCCTGCAGTCCAAAACGGGCCGAGGAGTTCAGAGAAAAACATCCGCAGTTCAGCCTGGAATCCTGACATGTCTAAAACCTGCGAGCTGCAGCTTCTTCCCTATTGCTATTGGGTATTCTGTAGTGTTGTTGTTTTTGTTTGTTTGTTTGTTTTGCCATAACTAATAGCAGCTGGGATGGAATTCAACAGGCCTGCGGATGGGCAGAGCGGTGATGGTTCGCTGGGTGTGATGGAAGCACAGAGGTTTGTGCTTCCACTGCAGCCGCAGCCCCAGGTGAGCGGCTGGGGCAGAGAGAAGTGCGGGAGGCGGAGAGCCCGAGGTGCGACTGCTCCCCACGCAAAGCCAGAGAAGGGCTGGAGCTGGCTGTGGCGAGACCAGTCTGCGGCAAATACTTTTAATGCGGTCGCACAACCGCCGAGCCCGGTCACGATACACGAAGATACTCGAGGAAACCAGCGCTCACACAGTACGGTGGCCGAGGCGAGCGCTCGTTTCCCGCCGCAGGGCCGAGCCCCGCTCCCAGCCGTGCCGCAGCGCAGCGCAGCTCTGGCGGCCCCGGCCCTTCCGCTCCGCCCGCAGCCGCGGCCGGGGCGGGGGCTGCGAGCACTACAAGTCCCGTGAGGCGGCGCGGCCCGGCCGCTCCCTGCGCGGCGGCGGGGAGAGGCGATGCCGGCGGCGGGCTCGGAGGGGGACGAGGGCCCGGCGGGGGAGCAGGCCGGGCCCGGAGCCCCCAAGCTGTGCGGCTACCTGCAGAAGCTGTCGGGGAAGGGCCCGCTGCGCGGCTTCCGCAGCCGCTGGTTCGTCTTCGACCCGCGCCGCTGCTACCTCTACTACTTCAAGGGGCCGCAGGAGGCGCTGCCCCTCGGGCACATCGACATCGCCTCCGCCTGCTTCAGCTACCACCAGCCCGAGGCCGCCGCCGCCGCCGCGGGTGACGAGGCGGCCGCCTTCGAGGTGCACGGGCCCGGCGGCGCCGTGGCCGTGCTGAAGGTAGGCCGGGCCGGGCGGCCCTGCGCGGGCACCGCGGCGCTCGGAGGGCCGGGGCTCCCGGCGCTGCTGGGAACGGCTCCGAGCCGCCCCTCCCGGCTCCGGACGGCGCTTCCCGCGCCGCCTTTCGGCCGCCGCTTTCCGGGAGCGGGAGCGACGCTTGGCGATGCGCGGTGCCCCCAGCGTTTGTGTCAGATTTCCCTTGCCGAGCCTTTTTCCGAGCGCTGCCCTGCCCTGCTCGCTCTCTCCGCCCTGCCCTGCCGCCTGGGTCGGGGAGCGGTCCCGTGAACGCAGGCTGGCCGTGGGCCGGAGCCCACCGCTTGTTTGGAACAGCTGGTGCGTGGCAGCAGCCTTCATCTCCGCTTCGGGAGGAAGGAGGAGGAAGGAGGATCGTTTCCTGATAGCCGGGCTGTTATCGTGTGCGTCCCGCGGGCTGCAGACTAAACAGCGGGCTGCCTGACGCCTCTCGTTGCTCAGACACACACACACAGCAGAGAAACAGCAGCGATTCGAACAGTGATCACAAATGCTGATACTGCACAATGTGGTTGCGTGCTTTTTATTTTATTTTTTTTTCCAAAATGTAAGCATTTATCAAAATTAGGAGTCATTGACATACTTTGCTAAAGAGTAAATAAGTTACCCAGCTGGAAAACTAATGTGGTAATCGTGAGTATATCTGGTTAAAGACGATGCAGTCAGCAATTCTGCTTGTGATCACTTGTAAAAACAACTTTTTTTTCCTACATAGCCATAACCAAAGTTCTCGGCACTTTCTGTGAACCCACCATAGCACTCTGAGCATTCGTCTTGTAGAAGTTAAAATGGCAGAGTTAATGTAGGGGTTGATTTGTTCTTTAGCTACTATTGAGTGATTTCTGTTACTCATTTTGCTGTGGAAACCTCCAAGAAAGCACACAGCGCCATGAGTGACTCGTGTCAAACAGTGCAGCAGCAGCAGCCCCAGGCACAGGGCTCACATTGGCCTCAGCTGCTGTGCACAAGTGTAAGCGACAGGAGGTTTCCTTTTTAATGTTTCTCTTGGTACCTTTTAGTCTGTGACATTACTCTGCCCTTCCTTTCCTTAGTCGTTTCTTGCTGTACTCTTTGGGAAAGATCTGATGTGAATTGGAGCTCTCTGTGTTTCCCTTATGGAGACTGAGAAAAGCCAAGGTCGATTCTGCAACATGCAGAAGTAATTTTGCATCTTCTACCCCTTATATTGTTTCAACACTCGCCTTAAAGTAGCCAAGTGATTGCCTTTAAAAATGGTATCACATCATAAGCACTTACGTAATAAATAGGGAGTAAGTGGAAAACATGAGAGATGTTAGGGACCAACTGGCCTTTGGCAGCTGTGTGGTTCACCAGGGGTTAAGGCTTTTGGGGCTGGAATTAATTTTCTTCTACCCGTCGTGGTAGATCTTGAGGGCCTATGAAAATACATCATAGCTAAATTAGGTAGAAATAGGAATGAATTCAGGATAGGAAAACCAAACCACTGTCTGATCCAGACCCCGTTGAAAAGAAATGTGGTTTCATTTATGAAGAAAACATTGCACACAGAGCACGAGGAAGAAAATCAAATGAAATGTTGCCTTCGCCCTCTAACTCA